AGTGCTTTCCTCCGGAGTGGTCAGGAAGTTTAAATATGGAAGCATGTGTTCCGGGAAGCGTGTGTTCCGGGCTTCAGGCAGGGAGACTGTGCTCTGCATCCCTGTAAACCACGGTAAAGCAGGCTGTGGGTCTCAACCCCTTTGGGGGGTCCCCTATCGAACATCCTGCATACCAGATATTTACATTATGATTCATGACAGCAGCAATGTTATGGTTATGAAGTAGCAATGAAAATAATTTTATGGTTGGGAGTCACCATAACGTGAGGAACTGTGTTAAAGGGTCACAGTGTTGGGAAGGTTGGGAACCACTGCTATAGAGGGTCTTCCCTTTGTCTTCCATCTCCTAACTTTGTCTGGGCCTGTGGTTCTCCAGGAGCATTCTGGGAAGTAAGCTTGATACGATACGCATTTTCAGAAACCTGTGTCTCCATCAGTTTCTTTTTTAATCTTTATAGAGTGTCTTTAATTTCATTACGTGTTACATTTTCTTCTCAATTCCCCTGCTGTCTCAGCTAGCTAGACTTGCCTAACACGGAACATGCAGCAGATGGCTAAAACAGCAGACAGTTCCCACCTCACAGGTATGGAAACCACAAGGTCAGAGTCAGAGTTTGGCAGTGACGATCTCTGGCTTGTAAATGTGTCATTCCTTAACTGGGGACAGAGCTCAGCTGGTAGAATTTCTGCCTAGCACACTTTAATCCCAAGAGTTGGGGAGCGGAGGCAGAAACAGCAGAAGTTCAAGGTCATCCTCAGCTAAGTGTCAAGAGTGACTCTAACTTGGGCTACTGAAACCCTGCTTCCAGGTAGATAAATCCCAGGAGGCACTATCGCATCTTTGAGAGCTTACTTCCTTTCTGTTTGTATCCAAATTTTCCTCTGCATATAAAGTCAACCGCCATTGGTTTAGAACCCACCTAAGCCAGGGGGAGCCCAAAGCACAGTCACAGATACATGGAGTGGGTAGGATTCCATCTGTCTTGGGGCATTTACCAGCTAACCCTGTGAGTCTGGCTTTTGAGTAGACATTCTTTTAAGCATTTTTCTTTTTAATCACCTGTTAATTTCTTTTCACAGAAATGTTTTAAGCAAACAGTTTACATAGTCTTTTATTTCTGTAACTTAAAAAAAAGTCCTATATAGAAAGAAAATATTGCTCACCGACTAGGAAGGCCACTTGAGAAGAGTTGAGAAAGGCAAGAGTTAAAAAGGGCAGTCCCACAGTGCAAGGTCTGTTTACAGAGGTTTATGACTTGGGTGTGACTTGGTCATTCAAGCTTCTGAGCCTCTGAGAGACTTGAGTTGAGCCGGCTGGATTGGACCAGGCAGAGCTCTGTGTGGCCATGTAGAGCCCTGATCATAGTTTTAAAAAGACCTGAGCAACTCTGGAAAACATGGATATGGTCAACTGCCTGTTCCTCCAGTGTGTGTGTGGGCAGCCTCTGCCCATGGCTAAATCTCAGGTAGGTTCTCAACCTGGAGAGAAGGACCTTCGCTGGAGGGTGTGTTTAAAATCCTAAGAAGGAGCCCAGTATTCTCCACTCTTCCCAGTGAACCTGGGCAGTATTCCGAAAGCACAAAAGTTCTGCTTAAAACAAAAAGATTGTTTAGAATTGGTACAGCTGTTAGCAGAGTCCTTGCCTGGCACGCCTAGCGTGCATAAAGGGTCAGCCAGTTCCACATTGGCATGGGAAGGAATCTGCCTCCGATTGGCTGAGGAGCTGCCTTTGAATGCTCACAGGAGGTTTCTCTTGAAATGGATGTTTCAGCTTGATGTGATACTTTGTAGCTAGATTTTGGGATCAGTGGGACATTTCCATGCTGTTTAGAGGGTGGCTTCTCTTGTGTCTTCAGCGAAGGTATGACAATCTAAGTCCTTACAGTTGGAGTTCTTCTGTGCTGCCTGGATTCAGACGGTAGCTGGCACAGAGGTGTGGCAGGAATACCTGCTAGGCTACTTTGACTGTGCCTACCTTGCCCAGCCGCAGTCACTTTCTGGTATATTTATTTTTGGCATCGGTAAGAAAATACAAGTCGCGCGTTGCATAAGCATGAAACAAAGCTTCTAGCCATTAACAACAACAAAAATCTAAAGTTTTAGAAAATAATTAACCATACATGTCTTTGTGAGTAGCTAGACTACACCATGCCTCAGATTTTGTGTTGTGCACTTGTTTTTCTAGCAAGGTGCCTCTGACCCTTTTGAAATGACATCGTATAAATGGATTTATTCTTACTGTGTACTTAAGTAGGCTGTGTCAGATGATAGTGATTTGTTTCAGTGCCCCATCATAACCTGATTTTCAAACAGATTTCAGGAAACGGTGTTAATGTTATGCTTTCTCCTTTTCCCGTGGTGATGGCAGGGAGGATGAAAACATGCGTATCTTCTTGTGGGTATGGGTATGAGCGAGTTCACGGAAAAATACCTCCGGTGGGTGGTGAGGATTAGCGGTTTCTCTACCATTTCCGTAGGGAAAGAAGGAGGGGAAGGAAGTTGAGTGGGAATGAGTGTCTCTTAGGAGAAATAGGTCTGTAGAAAAGTAAATGGGGAAAACAAGGGTTGTGGTTCTCCCTTTCTCCAGCAGTGTAAGGAATGAGTGTAGGGGAGGGACCTTAGGACCACTGAATTCTTTGGGGGAGACTGTTACAGGCAGGTAACTTTATAGGCTGGTATGGGGGTGACTGTTCTCAAATGTCTTGGGCTCACAGAACTTATAGAGTATAATCTGCCCCTTCACAGATGTCTTGAAGGTACGGGACAGCGGCATAGACAGGCTGTGAATAGAAGTTCATAGGACACCTGAGTGGGTGTGTGGCCCTGGGCAAACCGCTCCACTCCTCTCTTTCTCAGTGTTTCTAGCGTGAAGAACGAAGAGGTTGATGGAGAATGTCTGTACAGTCCAGCGCCTGCTTTAGCACAGGTGTTTGCTTTTCCGAGACAGGCTTTCTCTGTAGCTCTGGAGCCTGTCCGGGAACTCGATCTGTAGAGCAGGCTGGCTCCAAACTCACAGAGATCCACCTCTCTCTGCCTCCTGAGTGCTGGGATTGAAGGTGTGAGCCACCGCCGCTGGGCTAGCACAGGTTTTTAGGTTGCTGAACTGTACTTACTTATGGGGTCCAGCATTTTAATTTGATTCATGTATACTGTATCTTATTTTTTAAGTTGGGAGTCTCACTATGCTATCTAGGCTGGCCCTGAACTCATGTATAACCTTAGCAAACACTGATACATGTCAGAGTGGAAACTAAACAAGCCTTCCTTTTAGAGCTCTTGTCACTGGCGCAGGGTTTCTTTTCCTAAGTCTCTACCATTTAACTTTCTTCTCGCCCAGACTGTCATGAGCAGGGCAGGGCCAGGCGCCTGGGATTGCTGTGTCATCCCTTGGTCACCTGTGTCCTCTGCTGCCCTCCCTGCCTTCCAGTGTAGACAACTCTGCCTACTCTGCATATCCCAGGCTCCTCCTTCAACCCGCGGCTTCATAGCCTGTGTGGCTTGTGTTTTTACAAAGTGAACAGGGACAAGCTAGATGGGTAATACTGTCCTATAATCTCAGCACTTGGGGAGCCCGGGGTAGGAAGATTGCTCAGACAGACACAGACAAACACACACACAATGAAAGAGAGACAGAGAGTGGGGTGTGTGTGTGTGTGTGTGTGTGTGTGTGTGTGTGTGTTTGGCTGGGTACTTGAAGATGTCCAGGTTTCTTGAGTCTACTGCTGACAACCACCTCCAGTCTCTGGACCAGCCCTACTCCTTCCTGCATCCAGACTTTGGGGGATCTGCCAAGTAGACTGGTACCTATTTCCAGGCAGGGCAAGTCCAGGGCATGGCTACTCTGTGACCATTTTTGTGGAGTGACAACTGACTCTACCCGATAAGGCCTATCCTGCCAGAACTGCAATTTAGCCACTTAACTGAGGTTACCCAACCAGCCCTGGCCCTTACAGGGATGGATATGGAAGTCTGCCCAGTTCCAAACTGCATATTTTCCTGATTGCTTTTGAAGAAGTTTATAAAGCTGGGTGGGCCTGGTGGTGCATAACTGTTTACTCAGGAATGGTAGCTAGTAGGTTAGCCTAGGATACATGACAGAACCCTGCCCTCCTCCTTCCCCCCAAAGATGGAAAACGTATTTGAAATATTAGAAGTGGTAGGTGTCTAACTTGAAATCAGCACTTGGTGGAGTGCTTGCTCCGCACATTCAGGCCCCTAGGTTTGATCCAGGAACTGCTACCAAAAAAAGCGCTGCCTCTTTTAGAGTCACAATATCTTGTCCTTGTTCTTTTGAAGTAGCCTTCTTTAGGTAGCCCAGGCTGGCTTGAATCCATCGTCCTCTTTCCCAAGCCCTGGGATTACTGAGTGGACCACCATACTCAGCTGACAGTCATGGAGGATGGGGTTATGGTGGTGATATTGTCTGAGAGCCAAGGTTAGCCCCGACTGGTCCAGGCCCACACAGCTTGTTTGCAGTCTGGCTGTTCTAGGAATGCTGCCTGGTTCAGTCCTCTCTCTTTAGACCATCACTCTGGGATGAGACCCTCAAGTGTCGAGCCCTCCGGGCCCTGGATGTAATCGCTTCTGTGTGTCAGTAGCATCCGTACTGAAAAGAAGAGACTTCAGCGCAGCTGTGGGTCTTGTTACCCACTTACTGATTACACACTCGGTGTCTGGCTGCTGTGGCTAGCCTCCTGCTGTTTAAGCATATTTGGGAAATGCCCACCTCAGTTCTGTGTTCATTTTATTGTAGACCCGCTGGCATTCCTAAACGTCTCGCCGTAGCTCATCGCTGGTCCCCCAATGTCTCTTAAACTGTAGAGTTAATTCAGCCTGGAATGAAGTTCTGCTCGTTTAATCCACATCTGGGTGTGTTCTCGCTGTGTCTGGCACAGTTAGTTTAAGAAGCCTGGGCCTCTGCAGAGCGGGAGGGAGGCGGCAGCCATCTGCTCGCACCTGCCTGCATCTCTGAGCTCACTCCGCCTGTTCATTTGCAAAGGTGGTGAATGAGGATGACTGGCAGCAGGGCTCAGCCCAGGAGGAGGAGCAGACCGAGGCGGCCCGCGTCTCCCGGAGGAGATGGGGCTCAGGAAGGCGCACCCGGCCACGGCCGCTGTCTGACTACGGCCAGCTGGCTAGCCGAAGCTTGTCCATCCCTGAAGATGCCATTGCTGCAGACCCCCCAGGTGACGACCATGTGGACAGGACGCAGCCGTCAAGAGTGACCGCCACCGGCCAGGACCCATGCGCCCCCTCAGGCTGTTCCAGGGCGGGCTGGAGGAGGCGACCTATATCAGTGATTGGAGGGGTCAGCTGCTATGGCAACACCCAGGCAGAAGATGTGGAGAACCTCTTGGTCCAAGTAAGAGCTGGTGTCTCCAACCGTGGCCAGCAGAGACCCTTGGCTCCTTGCCTCTGTCTTCCCTGCAGACTAAACTGGACACTGCTTTTCCTTCTGGGGAGGGTGGACCTCCGCACACCTTTTCCTCCTGACTTTGAAACTTACTTCGATTCACACTAACAACCCATTCTCTCATCGTCTGTTTTCCAGTCTCCTTTCCTGGAGCCTCAGCTAACAGCACAGACTTGTCACTTGTCTGAAAAGCTTGCGACCTGAGCCAGGGGGCCATACCCTGGCTTTGTCTAGCGTACTTGCTGAGGGAGTGATTGTTGAGAGACAAAGTGGTTCGTTGTTAGAATGCAGGCATAGGAACAAAATAAAGATGAACCAGAAGCGGGTGGGGTGGATGTAGCTCGGTGATGGAGCATTTGCTTTTATGCATGGAGCCCTGTGATCCTTCCACCCACCCACCTATGGCCAAAACAAAGCAGAAGACTGTGCTCGGGGAAGAATTGGTCTTCTGAACTATCACAGCTCTCTTCCTCTCCGACCCCAGGCCTTCATCACACCTTCATCCACCACTCCTGGAAGGGGTGACCTCGGTAGGCTTGGAGCATGCTAGGCAGGCTCTCTACCATGCAGCAGCAGCAGCAGCAGCAGCAGCAGCATTCCTTATTCTGCTTCTTGGTTGCAGTTTTGCTGCAGATTTGACCATAAACACCATTGGTCCCTCAGCGCATTTGGCAAATATTTCATCAGTGTGTGGTGAGCACTTTAAGGTTATGGAACGTTCAAGTAAAGGCCCAGTCTTGGAGACACTCCTACTTCTTTGTATGCTTGGCCCAACTAATGCCATGCTCATGCTCAGATAGTCACAAGGTAGTTTATACAATAATTTATATGCTCAGTCTCATTCTGAAAACTTGTTAGGTGCTTTCTTAGGTTTCCTATAAGAGTTCTCTGAAAAAGAAATTTGATTTTAGGCTTGGATCGTGCACTACAGCACTTCCTGCCAGGGCCAACACGATGTCTTCCTCGTTCCAAACACCGAGAAGCTCTAGCTTAATTTAGTTGATTGGAGTTCTGCGAATAAAGTGAAAAGCCCAGTGTGGTGGCGCATACCCGTGGTCCCTCCAGGTCATTCAGCTCTGCAGAGTTTGAGGCCAGAGCGGACTATGAGACCTTGCCTCAAAAACAAGAAAACACAAGCAAAAGTGAAGTTGAGTGTCTTTTAGGGTACCCCATTTGTTAGGAAATATTCCTAAACCAAAACAAATTGCAATATATTTGAATGTATTATAATATATTAATATATTTGAATGGAAGACACAGTTGAGGTATAATCTGAGATACTTAGAACATACTTTTATTTCTGAGCATCAAGATAGTATTGTGTGCCAACATGGTGGTTCTTGCCTCTAATTCTAGAGCTGAAGAGGCTGAGGCAGAGGAATTGTGAAATTGAGGCTAGCCTGGTCTACAGATATACAAACTAAGGGACAAAAGGAGAGCCAGCTCAGTGATTAATGATTCTTATTTGCCTTCTAGAACGCCTGTGGGGGGCAGCTCACATCTGCCTGCAACTGCAGCACCAGGGGTCAGACACCTTCAGGCCTCTGGCAGGCATCCACTTTTAGGTGGCAGACATAACACACAGACACATACGCCTGTACATGTAAAATAAAATATTTTTTAAAATGATTTACTTATTTTTATATTATGTGCACTGGTGTTTTGCCTGTGTCTGTGTGAGGGTGTCAGATTCCCTGGAACTAAAGTTACAGTTGTGAGCTGCCTTGTAGGTGCTGGGACTTGAACTTGGGTCCTCTGAAATAGTAGCCAGTGCTCTTAACCACTGAGCCATCTCTCCAGTCACCAAACAAACAAACAAACAAAAAAAGCAAAGCAACACTGGAGATCTGTGACCATGTGTGTCTGTGTGCTGTGGCCCAGCCCTTGCTTTCTCTGATCCTACTCTGGGCAACCTATCTCCTTAACTGTAGCTAACTGCTCTGCTGCTGTCTCGGCCTTGGCCTTCCTATCTCCTTCTCTGTTCACCACTGTGGTGTCACTCTTAGCAGGGATGAAATGTGACTGCGCCATCACTGGGGCTGCTGTGGAAACCTTAGAACAGCTTGTTGCCCCCGAGCTTGGCGCAGCCTGCTGCTGGTCGTGGGGTTTGCAGAAGCCACTCCACATCTGCCAGTTGTTCAGGGTGAGAACACAGAGCGTTCTGTGGCTCGCAGGAGCTGAGACTTCCTGGCACCTTCTCACAGCTCTTCACTTCCTTTCGCAGCCAGCAGCCAGGCCTCCCGTGCCTGCACACCAGGTCCCACCCTACAAGGCTGTCTCTGCCCGCCTCCGGCCCTTCACCTTCTCCCAGAGCACTCCCATCGGGCTGGACCGCGTGGGGCGCCGACGGCAGATGAAAGCATCCACCGGTGAGTCTTGGGGCTTCCTCTGAACCCGGAAACCTTTGGTCTGATGTCAGGGAGTCCGAGTCACCCAGGTGATTCTGCACTTTCTCCATCTTTCTCTCGGTCAGGGCAGTGCTGCGGTAGTTATCTGGGTTACTCTGAGTTTTAGACGCCAGCTCCCTCCTCTCATGTCTCCACACCTAAGTTGCTGCAGAGCCATCCCGGTGGAGAGACCCAAGGCTCTAGTGTGGAGGATGTTTTTGGTATGTTTGTTTGTTGAAGGCTGTAGGAACACCATGCCAGATCTCTCCTAGCTTCTGCCAGCCTCTGGGCTCCTCGGCTGGCCTGTGCAGCCCCATCTGCACCTGCGTACTCTGTGGCAGTCTCCCTGCTGCAAACATAGCTGCCCACATTTCCCCCTTTTGTAAATACACCAGTCACAACTGGGGACCTGGGGTGAGGATGCTGTCGTCGTTTGGGGGTGGGGGTTCAGTGCTTCAGTGGTTGTATCAAAGTCTCTCATGCCTGCATGTGCTCGGCTGCCAACAAAGACTAGAAAAGCTTGAAAGATGTTGTCAGGCTCTTAGGAATGGAGGGGTTTCTCCTCAGCCCCTACACACAAGCACCCGATTTCATGATTTATGTATTTTTTTAATTAATAAAAAAGCAGAAACAAAAACCTTTAGGGATCTTTGGTTTTAAAAACACCAAAATTAACTGACTTGTTTAAGACAAACTATGTTGTCCAATTGGTGGAGTACCTGCCCAGCCTTCACAAAGCCCTGAGCTCGGTCCCTAGTACTACATGAAACCATGCATAGTGGTACGTGCCCAACATCTCTGCACTTGGGAGATAGAAGCAGGAGAATCAGAAGTTCAAGGTTCTCCTCAGTCATATAGTGAGTTTGAGGCTAACTTGGTCTACATGAGACCCTAACTGAATAGGGGGCAGGGTGGAAAGAGGAATGGATTAGAAGAATGTCAGGTGCCCCGAGAATGGCTGGAGAACTAGGTAGGTAGGACATGTATGATGTCAGGATTGCCCCCAGTAGTCATGGAACCTTAAGAAGCAGTGTCGCTGGTCACTGTACCACCAGGGGAAGGGGGAGGCCAGCCTGTCCTGCCCTTCTGTCATACTTCAAGAGTATGGAGACTCTAGCTGTTTGAGCCCAATGGCCTGTTCACCATGTGAGTGGTGTCCCCCTGCCTCTGCATTTGTACAGGTATTTGGTTCCCTGCCGTCAGTGTGTGCCCAGTTGGTGTCAGGAGCAGACTGGTCCCGACAGAGTCCTTCCTTGGCGTGGGTCCACTCACACTTCCTCTCTCCCTCTGCAGTGAGCACTGACAGTGTGTCAGAGGAGAGCGATGAGCAGGACAGAGTTCCCTTCATCCCTTAAAGCCCCGCGAGAGACAGTGAATCAGCAGGGAAGTGTTTAACAGAACAGGGATGCTCTGCAGGAGAAGACGGCAAGGTGGGGGATACTCATGTCCAAACCACCCTACCCCACAGTGCTGTACCTACCCCAGATGCTATGGGAGTGCCCCTCCTTCCTTGGAGATAACCCACAGGCTGGTCGCTGCATCAGACATTGCTAGGCCGACGGCCTTAGTCTGTGTGGTAATTCCTGCTTCCTCTCCGGCTGCTCGGGTGGCTTTCAGAATCATAGTAGAAAGTGGGGAAGGGTCACGTAGGTCTGTGAACTGGTGCACGTGTGTCCATGATGTCGTAAAAGGAACTTCCTCTAGAGCCAGGCCATAGGGTTTTGACTCGGCAACCCCTCTTCTGACTGTCTGCTGCCTGCCTCTCCCAGCACCTCTTACCTCATAGGGATGTGTCGGACAAAGTGGTCCTACTTCATTATCTGTTATGTTCTTCTTCTCTTTTTTATCAAAAGTCAGTTTACTTACAAAAATGTATAGTGCCTCAACTATGGGCCAGGGGCTATTGCAGTAATTTAGGGTACAGCATTTCAAAGACTACACACATGACTTCTGTATTCTTGGGTTTTATGTCCTCTGAGTTTATCTGCTACAGACTGGAAATACTGAGAAGACATATCTTTACTGAACGTGTCCAGGCTCCTGTGCCTTGACCCTCACACATGCTGCATACTCCAGCCCTAGCCTTGTCATGACTAGACGGCTGAAGGACTGTGCACGTGGTATTTACATTGTACCAGTATTGTGAGCCGTCTAGAAATGATTTCAAGTATATAGGAGGATATGTGTTTGCTGGGTGCTAAGGTCATGCTATTTTAGATAAAGGGGCTTGAGTATCCAGGAAGGAGCTTGGCATCCAAAGGGACTTGGATACAGAGGGGTACTGTACATCCCAGCATTTGAATACATTCCCGATGGGATTCTCTACACCACTAGTGATATTTGTGGAGACTAGGAAAGGGCAGGAATGACACTGAGTAGCAACCTGGGCAATGAAGAGGTAGTGGGGTCCCCTAAAGCAGCAGCAGATAATACACAGAGGTTCAAAACGGAGGCCAGTGACTGAGCTCTGGAAACATGGCCAGAAGAGGGCGCTGTGGTTAGAGACAGTGGCTAAACAGAAAGGCCTCTCGTGTCTTGGGGTTCTAAGTACTATATGGAGTCATTGCCAACAGGAAAAACGGTGCATTCTGGTTTGTGCTTCAATTACAAACAACAGCAGAGCTGGGCGTGGTGTCACAACCCTTTAATCCCAACACTCGGGACGCAGAGGCAGGTGGAACTCTGAATTTGAGGCCAGCCTGATCTGCAGAGTGAGTTCTAGGACAGCCAGGGCTTCACAGAGAAATACTGTCTTGAAAAACAAAACAAAAAACAACAGTGAAACCTGTGTGCGTGTGTGTGTGTCTGTGTGTTCACGCGTGCATGGGGTGGGGGGCACAAGCACACCATAGGGTGTGTATGTAGGAGAGAGAACAACTTGCAGGAGTCTGTTCTTCCTTTCCACCATGAGTCCTGGGGATCAAACTCAAGTCGTCAGGTTTGGCGGGAGGTACCTTTCCCCTCTGAGCCATCTTACCGGCTCCTAGTTTGTGCTTTGTTTGGAAGGAAAACATGGCCAGGCCTATGTGGCCGTGTGTGTCTCTAATCTCAGAAAGTTAGCCAAGTTACTGTGGGCTTTACAGTGAGTTCCAGGCCAGCCTGAGCTATATAGCAAAATCCTATCTCAATCAATGAATCAATAAATAAAACTTAAAGATTGAAAGCCAGAGAGCGAATGAAGGAGAAAAGCAAGTACAGTAGTTTGGGGTAAGGCGAATGAAGAGAAGAAAGATGGGCGTGAGGCTGCTGTATGAGGCCCACTGAGCATCCACAGTGGCAGTGACCACAAAAGCCGCCAGCAGTTCCCGCGGGTGTTCATTTCCCTGCAGCGAGAGGAGGCCGAACTGACGAGCCCAGGCTCTGACTCGGTGGGCTAGAGCTGGGATGTCCCATGGAAGGGCTTTTCCCTTGGAGATGAGATGCAGTTAGAGCAGTGCTAAATGGGAGGAGGACATTTTGCAAGAGTAGCTGCCTCTGTGTTTACCCCTGGTTTCCGGCTGTGGCTTAGCATCCCCCGGTGACATGAGTCACAGGTTCACAGCATGTGCCCCTGCAGGGTGTCATGGCAGCACCAGGGTGTGTCTCCAAGCTTCCTAGACCATTGGGTCTCACTGAGGTGGTGTTGGGTGTGAGGCAGTCACTGGGAAGTTCTATGTGGCATCTGGGAGACGCCATGGCAGTTTAGGAGACTTCAGTGAGACCAGCAAAGAGATGGGCGTAATCTGTGTCCAGCACAAGTGGCTTTTTCAGTGAGGACAAATCATTGCCCCTCTGTTATAAAAATGTCCATTGTAATCAGCTTCCCACAAGTAGCTGTCTGGTTCCTACAGAGAACCGTATCATTAGTCCTGGTGAGGACAGGCCCTGCGGTCTAGCTCAGGCTGGCACCCTTTCTGCAGCTATGGCCTGGTGGGTACTTTGTTTCTTAGTGAATCCACTGAGCCCCCCCGCCCCCCATCAAGATGAAGAGAGAGGTTAGCTGATGCCGGCATCATGAGCATCATGCCCACATGCCTATTAAACAGCGTCTTTTGTGGTTCACTTTTCAAGCTTTGAAGGTCTTCTGTCAGTCACACCCCTGGCCCCACGTTGGGGGCCCAGTGTTAATGTCAAGCCATTAGCTTCCAAGCATCCATGTGTGCAAGCTCACTCTGTCTGGAGAATTAAGATGCACCTCTTCCACTAAGGGTTACTTACTCTGTGCTGGGTGCATAATAACCTGGTAAAGGATGCAAGGCTGTCAACAGGAAAACGACTTACTTAGAATACCTGCCCAAAGATGACGGGCTGTGTGGGGACCCCAGATGCAGGGCCCTCGGTTTCCCCGTCACACTTGGCTGACCAACAGATTTTGCGCTTTATTAATCATGTGACACTTTAATGGAGGTTAAAAAAAGTTTTTGTTTATTGCTCCTTTCTAGGAACAGGAAAGCGCTTTAGGTCTTTTCCTTGCACAGGTTGGAAGTTAAACTAGATGCAGTTTTGCTCTGAGGGCACCTCTCCCTTCATTCTAGGGAGGAGCCAGAGGACTCTCCTTAGTGGAACTAATCTCCATAACAATTACATTCTCTCTTTCAGCAGGAGCCTTGGCTACAACATGGCACTTACTAGTGATGTTTTCCTCTCCAGACTGTGTGCATCTTGTATTTCTTCCTGGCTCACTTGCTGTCTTGTATTGTAGACATGCACATGCGTTATTAGTACTAACCTTACCATAGATTCTACATTATACTGTCTTGAAGTTTTCTCCATCAAATTAACTAGTCCATTATGTTTCAACTTCGTCTCAGGCAAGTTCTTAGGACAAGGGCAGAAAGCATCCAGATTTGTTGCCACAGTAACACACGAATGGATTCTAGCTCAGTTGCTCTTAAAGTCTTTGCTGTTCTCTGAAACTTCTTGAGCCAGGCCTTTATATTCTCATTGATCTCACCACTGCCACAAAGATGGACCACCAGGCTCTGCCTACAGTATTCATCTGC